GCAGGTTCCCTCCAGCCCCAGGGCAGTGTCACCTCCCTGAAGCCCTCCTTGCCCACACACAGCCTGTGGCCCCCCTACCCATGTGTATGACGGGTTCTGGTCTGCACTGGGCTGCGTTGACTGCACTGGGCTGCCTGTTGGTGTAGAGGGCTCTGCTCTCCCCTGGAGCTCTGGGCTGCGTATAGCTGTGACCCACAGAACTCTCAAAAAGTGCTCACATGGGACTCCCTGGCCATTCAAGTCAGGTGGGGAGCCCTCCCCTCTTGAAAGGTGCCAGGATTAGTACTTCCCAAGGTTCCCAGGCTGGAGCTCCCCTGTGGGCCCAGCATGACGGGGGCGGGAACATCCTGGGCCTGGGCGCAGGGATCCCCTTACCTGCCGTTCTGGTCTGTGTGGCTCCATCAGCTTCACCACCTGTCCCTGCTGCACCAAAATGACCTGGGAGTCCCCGAGCCAGGCAACATGCAGGGTCGGTCCTGCAATGAGTGCACACACACCCGTGGTGCCGCTCTGCAGCCGCTGTAGGGAAAGAGGGCCCATGAGGGTTGAGAAGAGGTGGGGACAGGGTCCACACTGCAGGCACATGCAGTGCAGGCTGAACAACCTTAGCCAGAAATGGGACTGAACCACTGAGCCATGCAATGGCTTGGGTGAATCTCATACTGAACTTCACACTGAGGGACAGGAGAGTGTATCCTGAAGCTTCCCATTCATATCCACCTTTGGGAACTGCAAACCGTCTGCAGTGTCAGAAAGGAGATGAGTGGTTGTCTGGGGAGTGGGCAGGGAAGAACAGACGATGAAGCTTCCAGTCATCCTGAATATGCCTGTTACTGTGGTGAGGGATCCATAGGTGTATATTCGTATAAGCCAAAATTTGCCAAATTGTGGACGTTAAATATGTGACACTTACTACGTGTCAATTGTATCTCAATGATGATATTTATTTACTTATTTATTTTTTTAGACAGTCATGCTCTGTCGCCCAGGCTGGAGTGCAGTGGCGAGATCCTGGCTCACTGCAACCTCTGCCTCCTGGGTTCAAGTGATTCTCCTGCCTCAACCTCCCGAGTAGCTGACATTACAGGCGTACACCACCCCATGGGCTAATTTTTTGTATTTTTAGTAGAGATGGGGTTTTGCCATGTTGCCCAGGGTGGTCTCGAACTCCTGAGCTCAGGCAATCCATCTGCTTTGGTCTCCCAAAGTGCTAGGATCACAGTTACGAGCTACTGTACCCGGCTATTTATTTATTTAGAGATGAAGTCTTGTTCTGTCACCCAGGCTGGAGTGCAGTGGCACAGTCTTAGCTCACTGAAACCTCTGCCTTCTGGGCTCAAGTGATTCTCATGCCTCAGCCTCCCAAGTAGCTGGGATTATAGGTGCCCACCACCATACCTGGCTAATTTTTGTTTTGTTTTGTTTTTGAGATGGAGTCTCACTCTATTGCCCAGGCTGGAGTGTGGTGGCACGATGATCTTGGCTTACTGCAACCTCTGCCTCCCAGGTTCAAGACCTTCTCCTGCCTCAGCCTCCTGAGTAGCTGGGACTATAGGTGCCCATTTTGGCCACACTGGTCTCGAACTCCTGAACTCAAGTGATCCACCTGCCTCAGCCTCCCAAAGTGCTGGGATTACAGGTGTGAGCCACTATGCCCAGCCTCAATAAAGCTGTTATGCCTGCTTCAGAGAATCCCTTTTCTACTCTGAGAAGCAGCCCTGAGCTCAGAGGTCTTTGTCACTTCCTGGGGTTGAGGTGAGGGGCCAGGAGTAAAGGCCTGCCTGCTTTTCACTGGGCTCCTTGCAGCTGCAGAGACCGCATGGTTTTCTATTGAGATGCAAAGCTTTGCTCTGCTCATTTCCATGAAGGTCTGTGCTCAAGCTTGTGATAAAAGTGCGCCTTTCCCCTGGTGTCTTCTCACTGGGGCATATCTTGTAAGCAGCCTGAGCCTCAGTCTCCCAATGTCTAAAATAGGTACAATATTAGTATTCACCTCACAGGGCTGCAAGGAGGACCTAGTCAAATTATGCTAGTGGGGTTCAGAGTGGGTAAGTTCACAGAAGAGGGGCCTGAGGCATCTGTGTTCTTTCTTCTTTCAGAAAAAAATGTCTCATCCCTGCCTGTGGCTGTAACTCCCTAGGAAAGAATGTTCCCAGAGAACACCAGCAGCCTGCTGAGAACCTGCCTAGAGGAGGAAGGGGAGATGGGCAATAGATTAATCAGGTTTTTTATTTTCTGCCTTTTGATGCTTTGACATCTTGGGGCCTTGCTGGTCCTGGAGGGGCCGATTCTCGAGACAGCAAAGACCTGGGGAGGCTGCAGAGAAGGCTCCGGGCCCAGCTTGCCTGTTTACCCTCTGTGTGCCAACTACCTTGGTGCTTTCCACGCATGTCCCTGTGTGGTGTGGCCCTTCCTCTCAGGAACTTTGAGCAGCAGACTCTTTGTTAAGGAACAGGTCTGTGTCTGTCACCTTGCCACATTTCATTAAAACAAAATCCCAGGAACGCTTGACCACAGGCTGCCTTCCTCAAGGCCTGCAGACCCTCTGTGGGAGGCAGGTCTGTGGAACCGAGAGGCCTGGCATGCTGGGTCGGGGCAGGATTTGTGTTGCTTCCATTCGAGTGAGAACCAAATCCCCTTTACCCTACACTGTAGAAGAAATGGAAGGAGCACTGGCAATGCTCAGTGAGGACCTTCCGGCACCACCAGACCCTTTGGCGTTTTTCCCACTGCAGAGGCAGGGACTCTCACTGGCCTCTAAACTGTACCTGAGGCCCAGCTGCCAGTCCTTACCTCTCGCTTGGCTTTCCTGAGAAACATCTGGTCGGTGTGCTGGAAGGCTTGTTTGAGGGCTCTCGCAGGGTTTGTGGGCAACTCTGGATGGCGGGCAGCGTTGGTGTGCACGTGAACAGCAGCATACCTCGCAGCATCCACACCTCCGTGACCGTCAAACACAGCAAAGTAGGCGCGGTCCACGGGGTCCTGGTGGGGATGCAGTGGGAGTCACAGACCCGCTGACCTTTCCCGGGACCCAGGCTGCTCCCATAGGGGTAGAGCAGGCACTGATGGGGTAGAGTCTGAGAGAATCAGTATGGCCTTCGCTATCCACGAGGCAGCCCGGATTATGTGTGTATGAGCTGGGCGGTTTGCAAAATGACAGCTCGCAGGAGCCTTGGTTAGACCATCTGTTCTGAGTTGCTACAAGCATAAAATGAGGGGCTGCCCAAGGTGGCTCCTGGTGCTGGAGTCAGGGGAACGTGGTGCCCAGGCCTTCCTTATAATAGATTCACATTGTTGCCCTTCTTAGTCTCTTGCTGGGCAAGTTCAAGAGCTGGCGACTGCCCTGGCGCAAAGATGCTGGGATGATGAACTGGGCCTCCCAGACTCCCCAGGGAAGAGGATTCAGGGCTGCCCATACTTCCACCTGGAGACAGCAGTTGATGGGTGTCTCTCTTGCCTCAGCCTTGGTGGGCAGCTCTTCTCGGTACCCAGGGGACCCCCACCCTCGCCCCAGCCCTCCGAAGCTGTCCCTAGGGCTGGCACAGGAGCACTCACGGACAAGCCGAAGAGCTGGTTGAAGGAAGGGAGGGACACATGCCGGTCTTCCATCTTGCGGCGAGTGTTCCGGATGGCGTGAATGGAGACCAGCCACTGCCGCTGTGAGGCCCGGGCAGCCAGTGGCACCTGATTCTGCCATTGGCTGGCGACTTCCCAAAGCCGGTTAAAGAAACTCCGTGTCAGGCCTTGGGCATCTAGCACTGATGGGCACAATAGAGGGATTGTCAGGGAAGTGCTGACCAAGCCAGCTGAAGCCTTGCTGGCTCCCTGACAGCTCCCACAAGGGCCTGCACAGCCCCCATCACCTCCCAGGGCATTCTGAGCACATCAACTCAATAAAGCGCACATGGCAGCCTGTGACCGGAGTTAGAAATGTCTAGTTTGGCAACTTAGCCCTTGAAGTCTTCCACCCCTCCATAGAGCGACTACTCATGGGAACCCACCCTAAAGAAATTGTCAGAAACACAGAAACAATTTAAAGACAAAGTACAGAATCACTTGTAATTGCCCATTAATTAGAAATGCTATATATCCAGTGACAAAGGAATGATATTTAACTTACGATCTAGTCTCTTCATGAAGAATTACGCTGCTATTAAATATGATTTTCACAACAAAACATGCTACTCCCATATGACCCCACCATGGCACTGCTGCAGACTCATCCCAGAACAATGAAGGCTGTTCACATAAGAGCTTGAAAAACTAAGAAAAACTAAGGCTGGGTGTGGTGACTCACACCTGTAATCCCAGCACTTTGGGAGGCTGAGGCGGGCATCACCTGAGATCAGGAGTTGGAGACCAGCCTGACCAACATGGAGAAACCCTGTCTCTACTAAAAATACAAAATTAGCCAGGTGTGGTGGTACGTGCCTGTAATCCAGCTACTTGGGAAGCTGAGGCAGGAGAATTGCTTGAACCCGGGAGGCAGAGGAGGTTGTGGTGAGCCGAGATTATGCCACTGCACTCCAGCCTGGGTGACAAGAGCTAAATTCCATCTCAAAAGAAAAAAAAAAAAGAAAAAGGAAAGAAAAACTATCCCAGGCACTTTGGGAGGCTGAGGTGGGCGGATCATGAGGTCAAGAGATCGAAACCATCCTGGCCAACATGGTAAAACCCCCTCTCTACTAAAAACTACAAAAATTAGCTGGGCGTGGTGGCATGCGCCACATGGTGGCAGCTACTGGGGAGGCAGAGGCAGGAGAATTGCTTGAACCCGGGAGGTGGAGGTTGCCGTGAGCCGACATCTAGCCACTGCACTCCAGCCTCGGCAACAGAGCGAGACTCTGTCTCAAAAACAAAACAAAAACAAAAACAACAAAAAAAGAGAAAGATTAGCTCGGTGTGGTGGTATGACATGCAGCCCCAGCTATTCAGGAGGCTGGGGCAGGAGGTCAAGGTTACAGTGAGCTCCGATTATACTACTGCACTCCAGTCTGAGTGACAGACGGAGACGTGGTCTCTTAAAATAGAAAACTAAAAATTGATTTTTATAGAGTTTATGAGCACGTAAATCGCTTATGTCATGACATTAAGTGAAAAAAGGAGGAAAATTACATATGCAGTTTAACCACAAGTCCATGAAAAACCACCAAAGCCAGAAAATAAAGGCAGGAACAGCACACAACCAAGGTGTCAGAGTGGGGCTGCAGGTGGCAGTTCCATGGGCAGCTTTTCCAGAAGTACACTTTCTTAATACTTTCCCAATTTTCCATTACAAGTGTTAGTCTTGTGTGGTCATGGCTTTAAAGGATGTCCACAAATTCTCTGACTTCCCCTTTTGCGAGGTGGAGCTCACTTCCTGCTGCTGAGTGTGGGACTTGACTGCTTCTGATGAAGAGTGGCAGTGACCGTGCGTACTTCAGATGCTATAAACTCAGAGGATCTGTGCCTTCTGCCTATATGTAGAGCCCTCTTCCTCCTTCCCTGTTATCGCTCGATCTGAGCTGTGAGGATGCACAAGCAGCGAGGCCTCCTGCCAATGGCCGTGTGTCAGAATCACCTTGGAGGCGGACCCTCCAGTCCAGCTGGCATCCATGTGATCACAACCCGCTGACAACCAGCTAAGCTGCTCCCACATTTCAGACCCACAGAAACTGGAAGAATAAACGTCTGCTGTTTTAAGCCACTACATTTGTGGCAATTTGTTACGTAGCAAAAAATAATACAAGCTACAATACTCATTTTAAAAGGAAAAACAACCAAATCCTACCTAAGCGTGGCTTCTTAAGAAAAGATCAACCAGTAACAGGCCCAAAGGAGACTATGGAGGCTCTGCCTTCAGAGACTCACATCGCTTCAATGCACAAACCCTCCTGGAACTCCTGCCAGCTCAGGTGCATTTGCCAAGCACAGTGAGTCAGGGCCAGTCACCTGAGGGCAGGAGTTCAAGGCCAAGCAACTGAAAACAGGGCAGAAGCTGAGTGTCACAGGCCATACCCAAAGGACATGGGGAACTGAGAGAAGGAAAGAGTTCCTGCCCAAAGGAGGAGGCTATGGAAGAAAAGGAGAAGGGCTGAGGCCAGAGGGGGCCACTGAAGAAGAAACATGAACACAAAGGCTGTGCACACAGGAGGTCACAGAAAGGTCCGTGGGAATCCACGCATCAAGGCAGGGGTGGGGGCATCCAGAGCCAGCTGCTGCTGCCATGGCCAAGACAGGGGCCCATTCAAGCATTTGGCAAGAACTGGGGACTGGCAAGGCTGTGGGTGCAGGAGGGGCCTGATAACTCATTTGGGCAGGCCCAGCTGAGGGAAGGTGGCTCCATACAAGTTTGGCCAGTGGATCCCCTGCAAACCAGGAAATCCCCCCTTGTCCAGCCAGTACTCGCAGCACTGCCTCCTCTTCCTCTCCCTGAGAGCAGCTGTGCCCAGAAAACTGCCCCTAAATGCCATGAGCTCCTCCGCACTCCCTTTGGAAACTGTGGGCTCCTGGTGCTTACCAGGCCTGAGCTTGGGGGGAGACTCAGCTGCTGCTGCTGCGGCTCATGGTCTTGCCCCTGGTGCTGCTGCTATTTCCATCGGCTTGCTTAGCCTAGACTCTGCTCAGGCAAAGGCCATGGCTGAGGCAGTGCTGCCCGGCCCACAGACTCCCCATGCCAAGGGCTGCAGCCCCACGACCTCAGGAATCGCTTCTGGATTCTGCTCTGATTATAGCCATCCCAGGGTCCTACCTGGGACATGCCCTAAAGGCCCTCAGCCCTGAGTCACTGCACTGTGCAGATCTACCCTGATTCCGGTCTCTGCAGGGCAGCCTCCTACACAAGACAAGAAGATGCTCTAGGGACAAGCCAGGTGCCTGAGAAATATTTGTCTTGCCCACCTTGGGGCAGGGGCTGTTACAAGGGGTTTACAGTCTAGTTGCAGAGATGAAAACTACACTCAAATTATTAGTGTATGGTATACACTGCTCAGGGACCCAAATATGTGACAGGAGGCTGCAAACAGGAGGGCTGGCTGGCAGCCACAGAGTTAGCCACTTCCTTCCCTTCGGTGGCGATTCTTATAATACAATCCCCGCCCCGATGCAATTTTGTAAGGGTGGCTCAAAGTCCAAAGACTTTACTACATTCTACTCCCGTGACAAGGAGGGCATGATCAAGGCCGCTAGGCAGGTCTGTGCGCAAGGCGCTCTGACAGACAGGGACGCTCCCAGGCCTGTAGGATCCCTGGGCGTGGGACTGGGCTGCTGCGAGTGCAGCAGCACTCCTTCACACTGGCAGGTGGCGCTGTCTCCCCCGTGGACCCACAGAGACCCTTCTGCAGGGCCGGGTGGGGCCAGGCAGCAGTGACGGCGCCCCCTTGGTGGGGCCGCAGAGCTGAGGAGCAGCAGCTGCCACTGGCCGGAAGCCTACTGGCTCTGCCGAGAACAATGGTCTCCTGTCACTGTGGACAGCTGTCTCCCAGGCAAAGGCGAGGCTGCACTCCCAGGCAACGCGGGCAGGGAGCCAGGGCAGAGGGCAGGGGACCAAAGCGTGGAGGAGAGCACCAGCGCCGACTGATGCTGGCGGCTTTGGGTATTCGCCTTCTCTCTCTTCCCCCACCTTGTTCCTTGCTTTTCCTTCGATGCATGCATGCACTAGTAATGCTGAATTTAGAACAACAGGAAAAGGAAAGGAAATGGCAAGGGAAGAAGGGAAAGGAAATGGCAGACAGGAAATGGCAAGGAAAGGAAATCCACTGTGACTCTGCTGCCTGCTGGCCTGTGGAGGGACAAGTTTTCAGCTGGGTGGGGCGTTGCTACCCCCTTGTGGCACCCCTGCTGCAGCCTGTAACTCTCACTCCCCGTATTTCTGTTCCAACATCAACCAACACTTTGGTGAAATATAATAAAATGCAATTACTAGGAGAGTGAAAGAAAGTAACATAAAATCTGCTTTTTTAAATTAGATCTTCTGTCAAATGGCTCTGCGTCCTCTCTATTTCTGGGTCACATCGTGCTGATGGCCGTCCCAGGAGCAGGCTGACAGACAAGCGTCCACCAGCACCTAACCATGGGGCTCACAGACACCATAGAGCGTTTCCACCCGATAAAATCCTGACTTTGGTCGCTGAGGCAGGGGGCCTGAGTGTTGAGGGTACCACTGCTGCCCCTGAGACCCGCTGGTGTGCCACCTGGCTGACCCTGACTTCACCTGCCTGGGCACATGTAACTGAGGTACAACACAGAGTACACCTGAACCTGGCTGCATGACTGTGAGATTACCTGTGAGAACCTCTGTGAAACGAGACAAGCATCATTCATTTCCTGGGCTGCTCCGGAACTTAAGAGAGACCGGGACACAGGAGGGTGTCTGTGCCACCCACCCTGCCTCATGAGCTGACTGGGAATTGCATGACCTGAAGAGGGGTGTGACTGCCACCCTCCACCTCGCTGGTGCCCCAAGCCGCCTCTGCTCCTTGATTCTGCTGCCCTTGTGAGCGAGGGCCCCAGCACCTTTAGGGACCCCAGTCAATGGGGCTTCCCACAATGTCCTCCTCACCCTTTGTTGCCTGCTAAGCAGCCCTGGGGCTACCTCAGAAGAAAGAACTCACAGGTCACAGGGGCCTTCTCCTCCTCCTCGTCATCCTCCTCCTCCTCTTCTTCCTCTTCCCTGGGCAACTTCCTGAATTCGGAAAGGTCTGTCTGTAGTAGCTGGGAAACTGCTGCGTGGGCCAGAGCTGCAGCAAGTGGTGGTGGGGCCTTCCTAGGGGTGAGGAGGGGAAAGTGAGGGGCAGCTCCCAGTAGGTGACCACACCTAGCACCCCTTCCCCAACCATCAGCCCATATGCTGAGGAGTAACAGCGAGCAGGGTGGCCCCTGTCCTCAGGGAGCTGGGACAGGAAGGTCATACAACGGCAGAGGCAGATGCGCAACCATCTGCTGAGGCACTGGACCAAACTTGGGGCTAGAATTGGTGGGGAGGGGGCTGTTGATGGATAAGCAAACTGCCTGACATCCATGCGGATGATGGCTCCCGGCCACAGGAGGGCAGAGGAATCACCCATGCCACTGGGGACCCTGGGGGATGAGGAGCGTTCTGGGTTGAACTGTGTCCCCACAGAATTCATACGCTGAGGCCCTAACCCCCACTATCTCAGAATGGAGCTAATTTGGAAACAGGGTCATTACAGATGGAATTAGTTAAGATGAGGTCATGCTGGAGCAGGCTGGGCCCCTACCCCAATGACTGATATCTCCATAAATAGGGGGAATTTGGACAGACACACACACAGGGAGAACGCCATGGGAAATGAGGCAGAGACCCAGGGGATGAGACTACAAGCCAGGGAGTGCCAAGGGTTGCTCACACAGCACCAGAAGGGCCAGTTGTGTCAACATCCTGATCCCAGACGACAGCCACCAGCATGAGGCACGCTTCTGTTGTTTAAGCTGCTGGGTCTGTGGTTATCTGTACAGCAGCTCCAGGCAACTGATCTTGGGGTGTGGGACCCGTGGGCATACTTGGCAGAGGCTGTGCATGGTCCACGAGGTCCCTGGGCAGATGGGGCCATAGGGGCCACTGGGGTGAGGGGCTGTGGGAACAGGGCAGGCCAAGCTTTATGGTAACAGGGAAGCACTGCCATTGGTTTGTGTTTTATTTTTTTATTTTTAGAGACAGGGTCTTGCCGTGTCTCCCAGACTGAAGTACAGCTGTGCAGTCATGGTTCACTGCAGCCTCAAACCCCTGGGCTCAAGAGATCCTCTCACCTCAGACTCCAGAGGAGTTAGGGCTGCAGGCATGCATCACCATGTCCAGCTAATCTGTAACATTTTTGTACACATGGGGTTTCACTGTGTTGTCCAGGCTGGTCTTGAACTCCTGCCTTCAAGTGATCCTCCCATCTCAGCCTCCCAAAGCCCTGGGATAATGGTATGAGCCACTGCCCCTGGCCAACTATGGTCTGTTCTAAAGAGGGACATGGCATTATCAAATGGGACTTTTAGGCCTCTCTGACCCTGGTGTGGAGGGTGGGCTGGTGGAGAGTGATGACTGTCCAGAGGAGAGAGTCCAAGACCCGGGCTGCGCAGGGCTGTGGTGGCGAACAGGAGGGGACACAGCCGGGCAGTATAGAGGGAGGGGCAAGGACAGTGTCGAAGTTTCTGTTCTGAGCAACTAGGAGGCTCATGGTAGAGTTAATTACGCCAATGGGGACGGAGCAGGGCCAGGCAGGGGATGGGCAGTGGGCTCTGTTTCCATGGAGACTCTTGGGTTCCATGGAGGTCAAGAGGCTCCAGGGCCTGCAAGAACACGGTCTGGGCAGGAGATGGAGCTGTGGAATGAATGAGGATGGGGGCTGGTCCCACAGGGTCAGAGCATGGCTAACAATGCGGGGATGACCCAAGGGTGGCCTTTTGGGGGCCACGAAGGAACGGTTTCTAAGACATGAGACTGGGTCACTGCTTTCAACGTCACAGAACAGAGCTGAGGAGTCGAGGAGGTGTAGATGGGTGTAAAGGGAGGTCATAGCAGGCTGAAAGCAAACCGACGGGAGGAAATGTCAACCTTGAGTTAGCATCTTTTAGCAGATAGGCAGTGCAGAAGAGAGACATGGGGTAGATCAGGGGAAGAAATTTAGGGGTAGGGACACTGAAGCCAGCTGTGGCTGAGGGGAGCAGTGGGGAGAAGTGTCTGAACGGAGCCATCCCTGAGTCTTCTGGGCAGAAGGGATGGATCCCTCAGTGGCCCTATGACCTCTATCATGCATTTTGACTCCTGGAATCTGCCTACCCTACCCAGTGGGGGCCCCGGGAGCTGGGTGACACACATTCACCTCTGTGTGCCTGTCCCTGAGAGTGGGGGCCAGGGGGTTATGCCTGGGGTGGCGAGGTGATTCAGCACAGCACGGGCTGACAGACAGATCTTGTTCCATGGGGGCTGGGCGCCCGAGCTACTGATGGTCTCAGGAATCTACTGGAATGGATTCCTGAGTTTTTAAAATGAAAGGGTGACTCACAAAAGCCTCTGGAACTCTCTTTGAAAAACAACCAGCCAAGACATGAGAAATGAGTTCCTCTGCCATTTGGGGGTTTCCTGCCAACTGCTGGGTTTTCCTCTTGCGCAGTGGGAGGAGGGACGCCTGTTCCCCTTGGTCCCAGCGAGGTCAGGCCTCAGCTTCCTGCCCACCCACTGCTGCTGCTGGGGGAAGGGAAGCAGCTTCCGGCTGTGGGGACCCAGATAATGCCTGGCCAAGGCCACCAGCATCCCCTTCCTGGACACAGTTCCCACCTCATTCCAGGGTTCTGACTGGGATACGCCCTAGAGGTCCTCAGCCCTGCATTACTGCACTGTGCGGATCCACCCTGATTCTGCAGGGCAGCCTCCTACACAAGGTAGGAAGATGCTCCGGGGACAAGCCGAAGTGTGTGCAAGGCCCAGGTGCCTGAGGAACACTTGTATCGCCGACCTGGGGGTAGGGGCAGTTACAAGGGGTTTACAGTCTAGTGGCAGAGATGAAAACTACACTTGAATCATTAGTGTGTAGTATGCACTGCTCAGGGACCCAAATATGTGACAGGAGGCTGCAAACAAGAGGGGAGACAAGACGTAAATAGCCCTCTGCGGACTGGGTGTTCTGACTTCTGGATGGCCTTCAGAAGCATGCATTTTACAATCTGTGAAAGAGCCCAGGGACCGAGATGCTCAAAGCCCTTGATGCCCAAAAGCCCATCCTCCGGCTGGGGGACGGGAAGCAGAGCTCAGGGGTGGAATTGTGACTATGTATGAGCACGTGTGTGTGTGTGTGGACAGTCGGACTCAGTGTAGACAACATGTAAGGCTCAGACCCCAAGTGCTGACTACACCTGTGGACATCCACACCTGTGTGTGAAAAAAGATGCTAGAAAAAAACAAAAACGACTTAAAAGATAAATCCAGTAAGACGGCAGGAAAATATAAGACCTTCAAATACTCCACTTTACTCCACCATGCAGGGTAGGCTTCTAGGGGCTGAGGAGGCTTGGGATCTCTGTGCCCCTCCCGCTTGCACCCATCACTAGGCAGCTCACAGAGCGGCTGCTCAACAAGTCCTGCTGCTCCCTCATTAAACCCAAAACCCACTGCCTCCCCTGGACCCCTGGCACTGACCCCAACTTCAGCTTGGGGCCCTGCTGGGCAGGTCACCTGTGCTGCCTACTCACTCCTCAGCCATCCAGGCCCTCCCACCTCCCAAGGAAGGATCTGTTCTGTGCCCTTCTCCCCCTATCCAGGAACTGAAGGCTGATGTCACCCTGTTGCTATGGCCCGTCCGTCTTCCACACCTGTGCTGCACGCACGTCCAGCAAACGCCTGGGCTCTGCTGTTCCCCGGGATGGCTTCTCCACCCGGTTCCCAGATTGGAGCTGGCACCACTTGGCTCTGCCTGCTCACCTCACGCTTGGGCCAAGGTGGACCAACTCTTCTGTCCCAGGCCTGGGTTTTCATCTCAGGGCAGCAACGGCCCCCCGCCACCTCCGCGAAGGCCCAGTGGCTGTAGAACTCCCTGGTCTGGACTCCCCTGCTCCCTGCCAAGTGCCACCTGCTCCTCTAGAGAGGGCGGAATATGGGGCCTCCCCTCACTTCCCGTCACGCTGGGCCCACTCTGCTCCACCACGAGGGGCTGATTCACTTTGTGCCACATCTCTAAAATATTTCCTCAGAACAAGCCAATAACAGCCTTTGCACATACCACAACCCCATGGAATGTGGTCACCAGGCGTTTCCTCCTGAGCTCTGGGTGGCTGTGGGGGATGCTGGGTGGCACGGCCCTTGCATGTGGCTGACACTCAGCAACCTTTGTGCCCATACCGCACAGGGAGAGGGCAAGTCATTGACTCTGCTGGGGCCTGAGATCAAGGAAATTAGGCCCTTGATGGGTGTCAGGAACAGTGTTGCTTTGCTGCAAGGGGCAAAGGAAGTGCATGCCTGGAGGATACTGAGGCAGCTGCCAAGTTCAGAGGCTCTGTCAGAGGGAGCTATGGCTGAGGGCCCGTCACAGCTTCAGGGGATATTTCAGGTGATTTGGGTGATGCTTGGACTGGGGACCATGGGCACATCCCCTCAGAGAGGGACTAGGTTCACAGAAACAGCATGTGGCCCACCAGCTCGCTTGCCTCTATGAGCAGCCCCTGTGCCAGACAGAGAGCCTGACTCTAAGACCCTGTCTGAGCAGAGAGGGTTAGAGAAGAGACCTTGTCCTTCACCATCTCTCATGGGACAAATACTTGCAGAATGAATGAATAAATGAAGAAGGAGAGGGCATGGCAAGGAAGGGACCTCTGAGGTCAGCCTAGGAAATAGATATACCATCTACTGGTGGATACACTCCTCTCTATCTTACCCAAAATCTGCTAGCTGGTTGTGCCACTTCTCTGTGCCTCAGCTTCCTCATCCGTGGAATGGGGACAGTGCCAGCTACCTCTCAGATCGTGGTGGCCAGGGTGCTATGTGGCCCTGCCACTCTTTGACTATAAGGCCTCACGTCAGTCTCTTATCTACCAACCTCTGCCTCCTTGTCCATCACACGGATCAGAAACAGGACTTACTGCTTATCACCTCTTATGCATTAAATTGTGTTCCCCAAAAAGGTATGTGGAAGTCCTAGCCCCTGTGGCTCAGAATATGATCTTATTTGGAGTTAATATCTCTGCAAATGTAATTAGTTATGTTCATATGAGGTAACAGCAGCTGGGCACAGTGGCTCATGCCTGTAATCCCAGCATTTAGGGAGGCAGAAATGTTGAGGATCCATGGAGACCAGGAATTCGAGACCCGCCTGGGCAACATAGCGACATCCCATTCTCCATGAAAAGAAAAAGAAAGAAAGATGAGGTCACACTGTAGGAAGGCGGCCCCTGGTCCAAAACGTCCAGTGTCCTTACAAGGGGAGGAGCCACAGAGAAACACAGCAGGCAGGGAGGGGAGGTGTGAAGGCACAGACACACAGGGAGATGCCGCATGCAAGAAGGCCAGATAGGAGGGCTAAATCTATAAGCCAAGGACATCCAGGAAGTCAAGGCCAGGCACTAACAGAAAGGCCTGGAGCAGACTCTCCCCTACAGCCTTTGAGAGAGCATGGCCCAGCTGCTACTTTGATCTTGGACTCTGGCCTCCGGTGCTGTGAAGGAATAAGCTTCTGCTGCTTTAATAAGCGCCCAGTGTGTGGTGCTTTGCCACAGCAGCCACAGTAAATCCACACAGTGCTGCCACAGGGATCTGGGGCTGCAGATCCCTGTGTGGGGCTGGACATGTGGGGGCCTGGTCGGCCCTGGCACCATGCCCTCACTCCCCATCCCCTTTGGGGGTGCACAGGCCTACCTGCTGCCCAGAAAGCCCATGGCCAGCTCAGCTAGCTCGCCCTCCACCTCCTCCTGGCTGAGCACAGTCCCTGGGGCCTTCCACGGCAGAGGGTCCTCCGGGTTTAGTGGGGCTGGGAAGTCTTGCAGGAGTGTGTCCAGGAAGCCTTGGGTCTCCTCAGCTCCACCGGCCATTTGGCTGCTCTTCTGTGGGGCTCCAGAGGCCATGCCCAGAGCATCCCGGGGCCTGCAGCTGGGCCAGGGTGAAAGGGTCTCCAGGCGTCACCCTAGGGAAAAATGTCACAGTCAGCAGAAATCAGGCAGCCATGGCACCAGCAATGTGAAGTGCAGGTATGCAAGCACTGTGCGGCAGGTGCATGACCTCATGGTTCAGGGCCACTATTAAGTGGAGGGACAACCCTGGCCACTGTCCTGACATGGGTCCAGGTGGGGACTTGTGGGCGTCTAGAGATACATCCTCAAGAGATGGTGCCAGGAGCAGCAGCTGGGTGGACATCTTTAAGTGACAGAGAAGGAAGGCTGCTCCTGGCAGAGGGTGGCTGGCATGGCCAAAGATGAGCTACACAGGGATGCTGGGGCCAGGCACTGAGGCAGGTGAGGGGGTTCAACCTGATCACGGGTCCTGAGCAGCCAGAAGGGCTCTGGGGTGAAGGAGTGAAGCCACCAGGTCTGTGAGCCTGGACATGGTAACCAGATGCCAGGAAAGACACCTGCTGGGGCTCCAGCAGTGTTCAGGGGAGGAAAGAGGAGGGTGAAGATGCAGGAGGGCTGGCCCAGGGCCGTTGTGAAGACAGGCCAGAGTGGGAGCAGGAAGCGATTCCCAGAGGCTGCTGGGGCCACCCGAGGGGTGGCCAGGAGAGAAGCAGAGGCTTAATCCCAGACAGACAGGAGGTCAGACAGGGACACCATCAAGCCTATTCAATTCTCTCTAATGGGGGAGGGAACTGTGAGCCTAGAACGGCTCAGGCCTGCTAAGCCCTGGCTGGAGGAGAGGCACTGGGATGGTTCCAGGCACTGACCCCACTGTGGGGCACGTGGGCTCTTCTTCCCTAAGTCCTTAGGAATGCCCAGAGCTGACCACCCCTGTGAGTTGCCCCTAACATCCCATGAGCCAGGACAAGCCCCCATTTCACAGATGAGAACCCCAAGGATTAGAGAGGGGTAGTCCCTTGCCTGAGGTGTCAGGAAGAAAGATGGAGCCGAGGAGGGATCCCAAAGCCTGTGCCTTCACTCCCTCCTCCCGGGGTGGCTCCAGCTCCTCTTCTTTCCTAACTCCTCAGAACCTTCACAGTCGCCTCCCCAGCCTGCCTGCCCTCAAGCACCCTGCTTCCATATTATTTCCATTGCCCTGGGGGATTCACCTCCCAGCACCTGCTCAGCATGGGCGCTTCTCTTTCCCAGCCCCTTCCCCAAGGGTACCTGAGCCCTCCGATTCTTCCCACAGCGGGGACACCACCTTTGGCTTCGACACACACGGGCT